GGTTTTGAATCACCAACCTTTAGGTTAGTCGTTTGCGCCATCCAAGGACCTTTTGTTGTCAATAAGTACTTGTTGAAATAAGTTAAATTTACACCATGCAAAGTATTTTCAGCTACAAATCATTTAATTAAAAAAAAAAAAGAACTGCCCCATACAGGGTAATACGTATACTAACTATTTAATGGAAAACTATTGGTTCTGTAAACCTTCATCTAAGGTACAAAAAAAAAAGAATTATCTATGTGAGATCAAATTGATAACAGCAACTCAGAAGGTCACCTAGGGGGCAGTGAGTTGAAGATAATCATGACGGAATAAGTTGGAAAAGGATAGTGAGAACAGCAGCACAACTGGAAGAATGTAATCGATGTCACTGAATTGTACATGTAGAAACTTTTGAAATGGTGTAACTTTGGCTACGTATATTTTCACCAAGAAAAAAAAAGGTCCTCCAAGGTCGAGAAGGAAGAGTGTTGACATGTCGTGGGGTTGTTAACCAATGTCATAAAACAATATGTGTACTGTTTAATGAGAAACTATATTTGTTCTGTAAACCTTCATCTAAACTACAATAAAAAAATTAAAAAAGAAAGAAAGTCTTGTGAGGTAGGATAGGTATAAAGAATATTCCCATTTTACACATGGCCCAACTGAAGCTAATTGACTTTGTCAAGAAGAATCAATCAGCTAGGACAATGGTACCATGCCCCTCTAATTTTACGATATTTAATTTGGTTCATCTTTAGCCACACCATATTTTCCATTATTTTGATACAGCACATACTCACCTCTGAACATAGTTTAAATGGTATTTTTTCCAAGATTCTTTTTGCTTCTTTAACATTTTATCAAGAAAAATTTCCAGCACACATAAAAACAGAGTGTAATGAATCCCCATTTATGCATCCCCCAGTTTCAATAACCAATCCTGTTTCTTCCACATCCCCACCTATTTTTCTACCTTCCAGAATAATGGGAGCAAATCCCAGACATTATATCAATTCTTCTATAAATATTTTAGTTAAATGGTGCATTAAGAAATTATTCACAGGTTTATCCAGTGGTTAGTATTAGAAAGATTCCCAAACAGAGTCCTTGCTTACAGCTCAATAAGAGAACACCTACACTTACAATTTCTTTATTCAGGGTGGGGGAGTGTTAGGCACTATCCTTCCTGGTGTAAAATCTAATCATCAACATTCAGTCATGCTGGGTAGAGTGATATGGATTAACGCACAGGTAAAATAAGCATCAAACTATCTCCTGACTCCGAAAAGTGGATCTCGATACTTCACAAACTTGAATGGAAAGTATAATATGATGCTTGCAGCTATTAATAACTGTCAGATTCCCTTCGCCCTTATTCCAAGTTATCAAACCAGCTGGGTATGAAAGCCAACTGTCACAGCCTGAGAGGAAGATCTAACTGTGCCTAGCCTGAGAAATGCTGTCACAATGAGGTTCAATTTGTGCTTCTGCAAAATAAAAACTGTGAGATTAATTCTCAAAGGAAGTGTCCCTCTTTAATCCTAAATCTTAGACACAAAACCATCTCAAAAGTGATGAGAAAGAGGTGGTACACTAATAAAACAATATCACACTCACCAGTTCTGTGCCAGGTTGTACAATAACTTAATGGAGCCATAAATCTATTCAACTATCCGTGGTGCCAACAACAGGGGACATGACAGTTTCAAGTCCTCTTAGATGCTATAAAAATTGTCTGCAGCCAGTAAAGCAGGCTGGGAAGGTTACAGTTCCCCCAGAGCCTTCAAGATGAGGAGTGTGTTAGGGAGCTGCCAGCACAGTTTCATTACGCAAACAAATCAGGAACCAGGATGCACACACACATGCATAAAGGTATATTACTTTTAAGAAGTTAAAATTTCACGTCACCGAGACTAGTGTAATAGATCTTTTCTTTTTTTCACAAAAAAATAGTGAACTATGTTGTTGTTGGCTGCCATTGAGTCAGACCCTGACTCATGGTGACCCCATGTGTAACAGAATGAAATGCTGCGGGGTCCTACGTCACCCCATGATCGGTTGCAGATTGGTCCGTAGTGATCTGAAGGGTTTTCATTGGCTGATTTTCAGAAGTAGATCAACAGGCCTTTCTTCCTAGTCCATCTTAGTCTGGAAGCTCTGCTGAAACCTGTTCAGCATCATAGCAATGCAGAAGCCTCCACTGACAGACTGGTGGTGGCTGTGTATGAGGTGCATTGGCTAGGAATCGAATCCAGGTCTCTTGCATGGAAGGTGAGAATTCTACCACAGAATCACCAATGCCCTCATTTTCAACTATATAACTGTTAAATTATCCAACCCAGTCCCCTCATTTTACTGATGTCCATAATCTCTAAAATGCTATGCTTGTATAGTTTTTCACATTATGCAAAAAAACCCCAAAACCAAACCTGTTGCCATCAAGTTGATTCCGACTCACAGCAACCCTATAGGACAGAGTAGAACTGCCCCATAGGGTTTCCAAGGAGCGGCTGGTGGATTTGAACTGCTGGCCTTTTGGTTAACAGCTGTAGCTTTTAACCACTGTGCCACCAGGGCTCCTAATATTATGCATTCATCAACTATTTATCGAGCACCTATTACGTGCCATGCACTGTTCTGAGCACAAAGTGTACCTCAGTAAACAAAATAAATAATAAACACAATTAAAAAAATAAATATTAGGTAAGAAAGGGAAACATGCTACAGAAAACAAAAAAATGTCAGGGGCATGGGGGAAAGGGAGCAGGTTTCAGAATCCGTGGGTCAAGGCAGGCCTCGTTGGGAAGGCCAAGATTTGAGCAAAGCCTTCAAGGAGAGGGAGGCAGCCAGGTGAGGCTACAGAAGCAGGGTGGCCCAGGCAGAGGAGACCACTGGAGTCGAAGTCCTCACGTGGCAGCATGCCCAGCACGTCTGAGGAAGCTGGAAAGGAGTAAGTGAGGGGACAGCGGTGGGGCTGGAAGTCAGAGCAGTAACAGGGGTCAGCTCACCTAGGCCACAGGGGCCATGGCGAGGGCCTTCACTTTTGCTCTGAATAAAGTGGGAAGCCTTTGTAGCAGCGTGCGCCGCCGAGTGGCATGGTCTGCCATCCATCTGCAAAGGCTCACTCTGGCTGCACTGTAGAGACTAGGCTGTCGGGGGAGGGCAGAGCAGGAAGACCTATTCAGAGGCCACTGCCGAGATGGCAAGAGACCATGGGAGGCGATGAGATGTGGCTGGGTTCTGGGCCTATTTAGGAGGCAGAGCTCATAGGGTTTCCTGATGGATGGGATATGGGATGGAACTGGAGGCAACTCCAAGGTTTTTGTTCTGAGCCATGGGAAGGAGGGCGCTGCCTCGATTTGGGAGGGGGAGGCTGTGAGTGGAGCAGTTTGAGGGGGATGATGAGGTGCTCACGTTTGGACAAGCTGATATGGCTTTAAGATCTCCAAGTGGAGATACTGAAGTAGGCAGCTGGACAGATGGCTCTGGGGTTAGGGGAGAAACGTGCTGAAATATAAACTCAGGAACGTTATATTTGACGCTGGTGTTGTTCATGATAATAATCTAATTTATTATTACCAGTTCAAACAAATATTAATAGCAATAATAAGCAATAACACAATGTCCTCCTACACACAGAAGAACAAGACAAAGAATCATAAAACAAATGAAAAGAATTAACTGCTGACTAAGTCAGTGGTCATATTCCTTTCAACCACTTGAATAAAATGAAGAAAAACTGCACTCACTGTTTCTTCCCAAGATGGGAACTTGCTCCTTTGTCAATATTTACGGGAATCTATATTTGACCATGTGAAACAGACATGAGCTTCCAATTCCAAGCTGGGATACTGACTAGACAGTTTTCAGATGTGGAAAAACATCGTATATTGACTACTAGAGGAAACAATGCTGCCTCAAAGAAGCTTTAACAAAAGAACTTCAATGAAACAGTCTTTAATTTCTAAGAATCTACTCTTTCTGCATTTTTCATGTCTAAGGGTAATAAGTGTCCAAAAAGTTTCCTGTTTCGATTCCATTTTCAAGGCATGATGACACTGGAGAAGGTTGCTGGGGTGGGGGTGGGGGCGGGGGTGGAAGTTCTACAGCTGAGGAAGATGATGTAACCTTTAAAATTTCATCTCACTGAAAACTGGAAAACATTTCAAAGCCACCAATAAATCTGCCTTAGCCATGTTGCCAATGCCCCATCTCCCAAGCCTGCTGGCACATATGTCAAAGTAAAGAAATTATTCAGTACTAAATTGAATTAATAACCATTCCATAAGCACAGCACGAGTACTGCTTATTACTATCTGGAAAATTCTACAGTGTTTATCAAATCCTAAGCAAGGATGCTCAGAAGTGTGCCACAGCAGACGTCACTGACAGCCACAAGCGTGGATGGCTCTGGGCGTGCTGCCGTGGCAACCGTGTACTCAGCAGCAACATGCTGCCTGCCTCTCACCAACCCAGAACCAGAGGCAAAGAAACAGCCGGCCTCCTGATGGGAACAACCCAGGGAGTCACAATGCAGGCCAGCTCCATCCCTCACACACACGGGAGACTTCCTTTCAGCAGTTTGAGATCATCTCCACCTAACTCCTAGAGAAAAAAATGCCTGATTTCTTCTCTCTACCATGGAACCAGTCAACACACCCAAGCTCAAGGCACTAGAGAAATGTCTGAGGAGAGATGGCGGGTGTTTGAAAGGTGTCAGGGTCAAAGTAACTGATTCTGTTTTGCTGTTGCCAGGCAGGAGTGGCTTTGCTGGGGAGGAAATGGAGAAGCCATCCTGAAAAACGTGCCATAAACGAGAGATCAGTGAGAAGGGAAGCAGCCAAGCAGACCATGAGCTTCTGGAGGGAAGCCGTTCGCACAGAGGAGAGATGCAATGGCGAAACGGCAAAGTCCCAAGGAGGCACTGAAAGCCTCAGATGCCAAATCCCACGATGTACATTTTTTGGGTATTCCACATTACCATGAAATAAAACAGAAACTGTCAAACATACCTTTTCCACTGGTAGAAAGTCATTTTCTACTTCAATTGACCTTGGCCTTAGTTTTATTGGCTTGTCTTTGAAAATATCTCCAAAGCCCACTCCCTTGACTTTCTTCGGCTGGATCGCTGCAGTTACAATGGTTCCATTGGCGCCTTCGGATTTGGTACTGCTTGAGTCACCGCCGTCGCTCTCGGAGCCTGTGGTTTCCCGTAAACCTGCCAAGAGTGGAGGGTGGGGAGAGAAAGATCTCAGAAATTAGCCATACCCCTGAAGAAGAACTGCCAGGCCAGCCAGGAACCACCTCTCAACGGTTATTGGATATGGAATCATTTGCACTGGGATTTTGTATTCAGTCTAAGTGGCTCTGAGTTTTATTTGATCTTCCCACCCCCGGCCTTTACTTTTAAGAAGTAACTAAAAACAACTTTTCAGAAACTCTTATTTCAAAGTAGATTTCTTGGTGCACATGGAATTTCACCTCTCTTCAGCTGGAGCCTTGTTCTGATCCAAATTTGTTTTGCCGCAGTCTGTGTGATAACAACCCTTCACCACTGCCATCCCCCACGGCCTCCTACATCTCCCCTCCTTGCCTCCCGGCCCAGGCAGTACCACATACTGTACCTCCAATCTCTATGACTCATGTCAATTAGCAATTAGCAATAAAAGTAACATTTCCTGAAGGGAAACTGTAAAGCTACAAGCCATTTAAACAAATTAGCAATTAAAGAAACCATACAAAATTATGACTGCCAAAGAATTAAATCTCCTTGGATGGCTTCACAAGGAATAAATGCATGCAGACATGTTTCTCCAGAAAAGCATTAAACCAAACTTGCCATTAAGGTGGTTCACTAGCAAGATGATCCTGTTTGTTAGAGGGAAAGGAGGCCAGAGGCCAGAACCCTCCCCTAGCTCTTCTGCCTCCTTAACACCATCATTTACCCCAAAACCAAATCCTTTTCCAAAAGAAGAACGCTGGGAACATGACACCCTTCCTTTGACCTCTTGTGACCTGTGTTGAAAGTCATCAAATAGCAATCACCAAGATGAAAGGACACTTACCTCCCCAGATTCTTTTTTCCCCAGGCTTTGCCCACAATCACGTTCCTAAAAGGAAGGGCCTATTGGGGTTCGGTTCATCTCTGAGTGTACATTTTTACTCAGATGGTCCATCAACGGGCAAGACTCAAAGGATAGTTTACGGGAAACGAAATTCTGTCATTAAACCTGACTCTAAAAGCCTCCAGACGTGCAGGATGGCTCCTGAGCATTTCCTGCACGTCTCCAGATGATAAGGACCCCTCTGGGATGAAAAACACGCCGTCACATTTTGTTCTCTATTAGCCAATAGTGCATTAGTCTCCTGTAGGTAAGGTGGCCTCCTAGCACTTAAGAATGATACAGCAAGTAATTGCTCACATAAAATATAACATGTTGAAGTCATTCAAATAAGGAAGTCTCAGTACCAGAAGAAACTGTTAAATGAAAACAGACAAAATATAGAAAAGTCATTATAAATTGCTAATAACTTCCAACAATCAAATCCTTAAAACAATGGTTTTGTTTGTTGTTGCTGCTGTTTTGGATAAAATGGTATTTACAGACCAAACGGTGGGGAGGGGAAAGATCCCTGGCGCACGTATTAATTAACTGAAGAACAGCATCATGAGTAAGGACAGAGGGCAGAACACAACTACAGGCCGGCTGAAATTTGCAGGACGGGCTTTGAGTGTGCAAACATGGAGAGTCCCCTGGATTCATTATCCACTTGTATGCTTATTTGTTCATTGTTTTTGGAAATATCCCTGCTGGAGATGTAATTTTGGAGTCTAAATATTGTGTCATTTCCCCTTTAACATGTTCTCATTTTGCCGTATGGATTCCTTCTATGTGATAAACGGCTTGCATATTCTTTTCTGGTTTGGAAAGAACCATTTGAGAGTGGAATAAAGAAATGGTTAGTGGAAAGAAACCATCGCCGCTCCCTCCCTCCCTCCCACCACCACCACCACCACCACCACCACCACCACCACCACCAGAAGGCAGCAGGGCATAGCAGGGCAAGTTGGCTTCAGTTCTTCAAGAGAGGAATTTGAAGGGTTCTTCTATTAGTCCTCATTAGCTAGAACCATAATATTTTCAATCATTGCCATCCTAATTTTCACTGAGCTTCTGTTTTTAGGTATTTGCTGCCTTCTGGGCTCAACTTAATAACTTCAGATGAATCACTGTGAGAAATACTCTTTACATTACACAGGGAGAGGTGGCATAGTCATTCAACTGCACAAGCATGACCTTGGAAGGAAACACACGGCAGATTTTTCTCCCAGAAATTCTGGCAGCCCGGTTAGATCACTTTTAAGTATCTGACTGTGTGGCTTGGGGAAATAACTTCAAATCTAGTCCCTTCTCTTTGGAAGGAAAGAAGAGTACCTTTTCATTTTCACGTCTGTTTGGTGCTGCATCTTTTAGCTGCTGGTGCCCATCACACATACTATCCCATAAAACGTCCCCATGTCATGCTCAGAATGCCAGATGACACTCTCATGCAGTGCAACCCAGAGTGTGGTCCGCGGAGTGGGGTCAGTCCACAAAGGGTTTGTTACGGGGAACAGCAAGGTAAGTGCAGACAGTGTGCATGTTTAGAAGCATTGCTAGCAATGTGCATTGGAGCGACTTCTAGACATGTGGTCAGTGACTCGTCTGGGGGAACAGGGCACAGGCAGTCTAGGTGCCCTCAAACTCCCGCATGAGGTGTGGGCAGCGCGCTGCCTGTGTAGCAGTCATGTGGAGAAGAACCATGTCTCTGTTCACAATGGGATGGAAATAAAAGGAAACTTCACCCCAGTTGAGAAGCACGGCTCTGGTGTTCCTGCCGGAACATTCTCTTTCATCATGGATATATCTATATGCTAAGGTGGACGTTCTTCTTTCAAGGTGAAAAATGAACAAAGTCTCTTCAAATTTGCTATCACCAGTCGTACAATTGCCCACGTTTGCGTAATTTACCTTACTATTCCAGCACTGACCAATTTGGATCTGTGAGTTACTTTATTTATTTGCAATTTAGCAGGAACTGTTCTAAGGTCATCATGAGAGTAACTCATTAGTCTCATTCATCTCCTTCCCCCCAACATTTGGCAGCTTTCTTTCATAACAGGAAAGGCTACACATTGGTCCTGCCAAAAGAATTCTGCCGTGTGGTAACTGGCTAGATGAGCAAAGCAAAACACCATCTCTGGCATGGACTTCCATGCCAAGTTCTTATTTTTTTGAAGCACGCAATGAATAAATGGTTTGTGGGTTCCCAATGACCCAATCAGAAAAGGCAATAATCATGAGAGGTTGGCATCTCCACGGGAAATCATCTTACACTCCCCAGAAGCTCAAAAATACTGGTACAAATGCATCTGCCACGACAAATGCTACTGTCCCCTTCTCTGCACACATGGTTCATGCACGCACGTCACATACATGATAGAGCCACAAAGCAAACAAGAAGCACCGGGGGCTGGTGATGAGAATGCTCTTGTAGCAACACCAAGGAGATGACACTTATCTTAGGCAAATAAGGACATGTCCTTGGGTCAAGTTCACACAGACACTTGGCATAAGCATAAGCAGCTCAGGAAAGCACAGCTGCATCAAAAAACACAAGTACCCAGAGCTTATCTTTACAATTGCCTCCTGCCGTTAAGGTCACTCACTGTAATAGCGTCTGTGGCCCTCCGTCTTTCCCGGTGCAGCTCGGTACAGAATTGTCCCTTCAAAGGTAGTCTTTCCTGACAGTGAATGAGAGAAGAGAAGGGGAGAGAAAAACAAGAGAAGGGAAAGGGGGAGCAAATGATGGCAAAAGAAGGAAGAGGAAGAGTCTTTAACTGAACTTGCCTTCAACGAATCCGCTGCAAGAGCTTCATCCGCAAAATTAATTAGAGACCATCAGGCAGAAGTTAAGAATGTTACAGAATGAGCCCAAAGTCCCCATGCGACAGCGATGGCACTGAGCACCGAGAATCAGGACTTGCCTCTGCAAATGCTGACACATCGGATTATACCCCATTTAAACCTGAGCCATTTTGACGTCATAACTCAAGAATAGGAAAACCTCAATTAACCAGAGAGAATCCAACTGATCAGATTCCTTAATTAACTCAATTATACAGTGCAATCTTCTCTTTGGGGAGTATGGCCAAATCTTAACACTTAGGTCCATTATCCTTTATCCTCTACCCCTAGAGCCCTATGTGATAAAAACTGGTATCCATGACTCTAAGAATCTAAACAAGATATGGAAATGTCTTTTAAAAATTCCATCATCCTCAGTACCTTGAAGCAAGAACACATACTAATATATCAGAGGGAGGTTTTCAACAAGGAAGTTTGAAACCAACAGTGGCATCCATATCATTGTAAAGGGTTTTCTGCTTAGCACCGAGGAAACCAGAAAACCCTATTTCTTGAAAACAACTTAATTGAGGTTTTGCCCTATTAGTCATGAGACTGTGCTTAAGCATGAGGACATAGGACTCATCCAGTGTAAAATGTCAAATTATTTTTATTTTGTTACAAGTAGAGGTTATCAACAGCATAAGACTGGACACACAGCTATAGCCCAAAGATCTCTGGCACCACAGGTAAGTGCACAGAAAGCTCACACACTGCTTTAGTTTGAACGCCCTCACACACACCCCCACACACAGCCCTACAGAGAGTACCACTGGTGGGTAAAAGGAAATGCATTGCTCTAAATCAGCCAAGGAATCAGTTCTGTTATGGCTTATGATTTAAGTGTCAAACTGGAGGCTAGTCATAGGGCTTCATAATAAGTCTGAGGAATGAAAAGGTAGACCATGTTTACAGAGAGGCTGAGAGCAGAACTGAGAGAAGGGAGAACAACTTGTCTACCTCTTAGAAACACTCCATTCGAAAGAGGAAAACCCAATAGGAACCATCGTGTCAGCTTCTGGGTTTGGTCACTCTTAATACACAAGGGGGAATATGAATAATCAGAGGGATAACTTAGGTGTAATTGGTTATATTTCCAACTTCCATGTCCTACAGGCAGGGGTACCCCTTGTTTTGATGATAAATGTACTCTGTCCAATTAAAGCAAAAACTTAAGATGTTCAAACTGCTGGCTAAAAAAGAATAATCTAGACAAACAGCCAAGTGTTTCCAATGTTCTTATTAGACTTGCAGCTCTTGAGGACTTCGA